TGGCTACCTGGCTCCTGAGATTTGTCCAGGCCTGCTTTAGATATGCAGTGTATTTTACATAATGTTTGGTGCTTTTTAAATTTTTTTTACTGTGTTTGAGAATATCCTGTGTTATATTTTGCTTAGATCTGGGTGAAGGTTAGTCTATTTGCATGCTATATGGCTTAACATTGACAGAATGTGCCACCATTACTTTGCTCTCAGTTTTAATTTCTTTGTATTTGCATTTTCAATCGGCTGAATTATTTATCATTCAAATACATTATTACTGGATCTGTCTGTCTGGAGTCTAAAAAAAAACCTGCACATTTTGCAGAATGACCTTAAGACAAAAAGCCTACCCCAGCACTTTGCAGCACCTTGCAATTTCCTCTGGAGTATACCTAGTTGGTCTGGGGTTTATCCTACAATTAAAAAAATGGCCTAAAACGTACCTCCATGTAGAATTTTAAAAATTCATCAACTTGAGAGTCTACAGTATTTGTATGTAAATATTGATAATGATCTAACAAATAAAGACAAATGGTAACCAATGCATTTCGGGGACCAACAAATCCCTCTTTATCAGGGCTTGAATACAATATATGGAATTCTTAATGGAGTCTTATCTCCTGAGTGATATTCTGAATCCTCTGTTAATGGGACCCTTCTCCCCTGATCAACAAAATTAAAAGGCACCTATCCCATAGGCCACCAATATAGTAACATAGTAGGTGAGGTTGAATAAAGACCCAGGTCAATCCAGTTCAACCTATGTGTGTGTGTGCATGTGTGTGTGTGTGTCTGTATTTATGTGTATTTAAAACTTCCAATTTTCTTGAATATTTAGTGACTGAAGAACTCATCTAGAAGTTTCTAGAACGTCTCTACGCTATCAGTGGATACCCCTGCCTGTGAAAGCGAATTCCACATTTTTACTACTCGCATAGTAAATAACCCCTTACGCATTCTAAGATTGAACCCTCTCTCTTCTAACCTCTTGTTGTGTGCACGTGTTCTCAGTACTGTTCTTGGTGAAAACAACTTGTTTCGAATATTGTTGACCCCCATTGATGATTTTGAAGACTGTGATAAGGTCCGCTCTTAATCGCCTTCTTTCTAAGGAGAGTAGGTTTAATTGTTGGAGGCGGTGTTCATACCTTAGGCCTTCTATCCCTTTAATTAATTTTGTGGCCCTTCTTTGAACTTTCTCAAGCTCGAGGACATCCTTCCTGAGAGTTGGCGACCAAAATTGCACCGCATACTCAAGATGAGGCCAAACCTGTGATTTATAAAGTGGAAGGATTATTTTTTTATCCCTTGCTAGAATTCCTCTTTTAATGCAGGACAGTATCCTGTTTGCTTTGCTGGCCACTGCTTGGCATTGCATGCAATTGCCAAATCTGTGATCTATGAGCACCCAGAGGTCCCTTCCCATGTCTGTATATAAGGGGACCTTTTTCCGCTGACCACCATTGTAAAGAACGCTTTTCCACTGAATATCAATAGAAATAGACATTACAATTTTCATTGTCTATGTTTCTTTTTTGGCCATTATTACTATTATTTTTTGCTTAATTTTATGATTATTACTTAATATGATTTATGAGGTATAGAGCTGGAGAGTGTTAAAAAATTGTTCTGCCAATGTTACATCCTTTCTGGTCCTGCCCAGAGTTGAGACCCTTCTGGGTCCAGGTGCTGTCTGACCACCCTCAGAAACACGGAGAGACAGTTCTTGCCCACATGGGAAGCTTGGATCTATTTCCAACATACTGATCGATATGCTGATCTCCTGTCCAGTGGAACACGGGACTTCAATCCTCAAGCCCTCACCATCCCCTGTTGATCGACTTGCATGGAGGGACCTAGCTGTGGATATACCACCTCCTCCCAAGAGCAAGCAGACTGGTTCCTTTTCTGCCAGAGGATGCGGGGGGTGCTCCAGGTATCTCCTTTTCCACTTTTTCCTTTCTTGAGCCTATAACTCTTACTCCTCCATAATCTAATTTCCCTTCTGTTTTTCTTTTGCATATATCTTACAATGATGTTTGAAATGCTATGAACAATTAGTTCTGCTATTAAGTTATTCCTTTAGAATTGTATCTACCCTATATACGTGATACAGCTGTGTGACATATCATATTTAATACTTTTGTTGTTATCTATACTGTATGCTGTTGGTACCAGATTTCAGTTCCATGCATTATGTAGACACATAAGTTCCTGGTGTCTTCCATATGTACCATCTTTGCATTTTCGTGACATGATTCTATATAACCATGCCTGTATGATGTGTATTGTGTACGTATTCCTATAATAAAAGAAAAAAAAAATTTCTGCTCTGGGTTTCAAATCTACTAGCTACACCACATTCTTTAGTATTCATTACTTTTTAAATCTACAATGTACTGGTCATGTCAATGTACCTTGAGATGTGGATATAATAACTTATAACATGAGTCCTTTGAGACCTAGAAATAAGCATCATTTCAGTGATTCCCCTGGGGTAAAAAGGTTGAATGCTGCATTAACATATATTTGTTTGATGGTGCACATCTTTGTTGCATTTATGATGTTCACTAATATTTTTCCGAGGTGTATGCAAAGAGAAGATCAATGCTCACTTGGAAATATCTTAAAATTTCCCACGGATGGACATTCCTTGGTTGATGTAGCAGAGGAGGTAGTATGTGGTCCTAGTTGGATGGAGCTTGTGTATGTCTGGGCAGTGTACAGATAAATGATGGGCCTTTGTATTGATTTCCTAGACTTTGGATCCCTAATGTTGACTTTATTTTCAGCACTGCCCAAAGATACTGTGATACTCTGCTCCATAGCAATAAACATGGCTTTGTAAGTTTACAGGGTACGTTCCCAAAAAGGTTAGAAAACACCCCTTTGTAATAATGAATTCCTATCTGAGAAGCTCATTATCACCCCTAGGACTATGGCCAGCCTTTGTAAAGCAAAAAAAAACTTTTTGTGGGGGTTTTGGATAAAGTAAGGAACATTTAAAAGTCTGTCAGGATCAGTGTCTCCTTGGGGAGATTTGCCCTCAACAGGACATACACAACAGGAAGTGGTTGGAAATTTCTCCAAAGTGAGGGAAAACATAATCCTAGACCGTTGTCCCTGGTACAGGTGTCCCCATGGTAAGATTTACCTCCTGTTTCAGTGCCAACATTTTGGCTTTACCATCACTTTCTATCACCAGGACCAATAGAGGGTGAATCTCCCTAGTGAAGACACATACAGCAATAACACTTCAATAAGGATATCACCAGCACACGGATTTCAAATGAAAGCAAATCCATTTTATTGATAGATGTCTCTCGAATATCAAGTGCTTTCCGGGCTTCGCAGGGCCCCCTTCATCAGGCTCAGAGAGAAATAAAACCCTACAACCTATTGGATTTGACACTGTTTCCTGTGAACAATCTGTGCTTTATGGTTTGATGTTTGATAGCAGGAAAAATTCTAACAGGAGTTTCAATACTTCCCCACTCTATCCAAACCTAAAAAATGGTTTGGCTTTAGATATATTTTAACGCTTTGTTTAAAATAAAGGTTTTTTTAAAATTAAATTTGTTTGCCAAAAGGACATAGTTATAAGCACAAGTAGTATACCGCAGTCTTGGATCTCAACTGTGATACCGTCCGTCAAGCATTGTTAGAACATTCAAGTCCAGCCTAAAACCCAACTGGACCCAGAACCCTCCTCAAATCATAGCTGTGTGGTTTAATCGCAATAGTTTAACTCAGCTCCACCAACTTTAGAGTAAAAAATAAAGGCTATCCCACTAGATAACACACGGCTGGAAGGTTTGGAGCTCTCCTTGAAGACTAAGCATATGTACGTTGTGCCTTCCTACAAGGCGCATTTGACTGTTGATGTTGTACAAGGAGCACTAATTTAAGCCTTGCCCTAGGCTTCCAGAAACTTGAGAGCAGCTCCCAATTTGAGTCATAAAATTAAGTATTCTGGGCTTTGAGGAAAACAATTTTTGTTGCTGTATGGCAATGGTGGCTATTTATATACATGTACATGCACAGGGTCATGCACTTTCTACAAAGCGACCTTTGTTTACCCACTGATCAGAGGTCCTTTTATTGATTCTTCACAGATTCTAATTTCTCCTGGTCTGACAGTGGCCTCTGATCCCAGACTGGATAAACAATTCAGTATGTGATCATCTGATATGTAACTGTAAACATGTCATTAAGGATGAACACACAGTGGCTTGTTCAGTCATTAAAAAAGGAGTCTGTCACACTCACATGTTGGACAGGAGGAAGTTTATTTGTTATTTAAAAATAAATAATCCAATAAACCTGACATAAAAAATAAGAACACGTTAAATAAAATTTAAAAAAAAATCAGACATTACGAGAGAAAGATGAAGACACAGAGCAGAACCTGGCACTCTGGCGCTAGAGTTTACGCAACACTTGAACTTTGTCGAGAGCCGGAGTTCAAATCTCTCCCTGTGAACACAATCCCATTTGTCATTCCTGCAGTTATGAAGACACGTACACTTCACTTCAGCTCTTCCTGTTTATAATGCTTTGTCATACTATTTCTAGACTTTAAGCTTTCTGCTTTTCACTCAAAACACATTCAATTTGCCTTCTGCTACTCTACACCCTTGACTCTCCTCTTAACTAATGTTATAACCTCTCCTTTGCTACAGAGGCTTGCAAGGCAATGTACTTAACATCCTCAGTAAAAATGTTGTCAACTGGCCATCCCATAAACTCAGCTTGACCACGTCTTGAGCTACTGCTAATGGACAAATACAGGCAGACCTCAACCTACAGTGGTAGAGGTTAGCTTAAGTGCCACTATGAGGTCAGACAGTGTGGTGGCCTAATTTCCATGTCCATGGCCATCACTTAACTACAAGGAATGAACCTGGCAACAGAAACCCTGACATGTCACAACACTGAGTTTTCACAGGGCCTGTGGCAAATAAATAAGACATAGATCTGTGTACATTGTGTCCTGCAATGCTTTATGGGCCTCTGTCCTCAATAAATTCTGATCTACCTTTGCTATTGAAACAATGTGCAAAGTAAATTCTGTAGGTTTTGGCATTGGAGGGCTAAATAAATAAGGGAGATGAAGGGTATAGGTCCTGATCCTGACTGGGACTATAATTCTAACTCAGAAGTGATGCATGATGCAATATGAGTAGGATTCCTAAACCTGGGGGGCACAAACAGAGGTCTTTAGCCCTGGGATGGCTTTTTTTTACTTTCCCTGAGCCTCAGATTCTTCCTCGTCGTCTTCATACATCTCGCCCTCCTCTTCGGCTGTGGCATCCTGGTACTGCTGGTACTCTGATACAAGGTCATTCATGTTGCTTTCGGCTTCTGTGAATTCCATTTCGTCCATACCCTCTCCGGTGTACCAATGCAAGAAAGCTTTACGTCGGAACATGGCGGTGAACTGCTCAGAGATGCGTTTGAAGAGCTCTTGTATGGCGGTGCTGTTGCCGATGAATGTGGAAGACATCTTGAGACCACGAGGTGGGATGTCACACACAGCAACTTTCACATTGTTGGGGATCCATTCTACAAAATAGCTGCTGTTCTTGCTCTGGATGGCCAGCATCTGTTCGTCCACCTCCTTCATTGACATGCGCCCGCGGAAGACGGTAGCCACTGTCAGGTACCGTCCATGGCGGGGATCACAGGCTGCCATCATATTCTTGGCGTCAAACATTTGCTGAGTGAGTTCAGGGACAGTGAGTGCCCGGTACTGCTGGCTGCCACGGGCAGTCAGTGGGGCAAAACCTGGCATGAAGAAATGAAGACGTGGGAAGGGCACCATATTGACAGCCAGCTTACGCAGATCTGCATTAAGTTGTCCAGGGAACCTTAGGGAAGTGGTGACCCCACTCATGGTGGCACTGACAAGGTGGTTAAGGTCTCCGTAGGTTGGAGTGGCTAGTTTAAGGGTGCGGAAGCAGATGTCATATAAAGCCTCGTTGTCAATGCAGTAGGTCTCATCTGTGTTTTCTACCAGTTGATGGATGGACAATGTAGCATTGTATGGCTCCACTACTGTATCAGACACCTTCGGAGAAGGCACTACGCTAAAAGTGTTCATGATGCGATCAGGGTACTCCTCCCTGACTTTACTGATTAGTAGTGTGCCCATGCCAGAGCCAGTGCCTCCACCAAGAGAGTGTGTAAGCTGGAATCCTTGGAGGCAATCACAATTTTCACATTCTTTCCTCACAACATCTAATACAGAGTCCACCAGTTCAGCACCTTCTGTGTAGTGACCCTTTGCCCAGTTGTTACCAGCACCACTCTGTCCTGAAGATAGAGAAAATGGAGATAAAACAATGAGTAAAAAGATGTTATGTATTATGTATTTTGTAATACTGGTTACATTTTAGTATGTTGGAATTTTTGTGTTGGAATTTTTGTGTTGAGCGAGATCTCAGCTGACCCTCTAAATCGTTGTTTTGGAATAATACAAATGGGAATCAAAATTACAATAATGTCGATATCTTAAAAAAACAAGACTTTATTAAAATCAAGCCTCACTATAACCTAAACCTTCTTTTCTTTTTAGTTTTGGATAGAACTGTTTTGCCTGGTACCTCTCATGTGTACAAGTAGTGAGCGGAAATCTCACTACATGGGAACCAAAATCGAAAGCTAACAAAAGTTCTAGCCCTTTACCAGCCTGCTAGAATATATACAGTATACATATCTATGTATATATATCTATCTATCTACATAGATAGATAGATATATATATATATATATATATATATACTGTATATCGGAAGTGATATCGGAA